TCATCAGCTCGAAGAGTAACATATGCAACTGCCGACAGCTGCTCACGCATTCGTTACTCGCCCACAGTGGTGCCCTAACCGGGACACTGCTATATTGGCCTCAGGGCTCTGGGACAACGTCCTTACTTTAGCGCTGACAAGGTTCACAAAAATTCGTATCACGTCGCTTGACGGATCTCGAAGAAAAACGTGACACCCTTAGTTCCCAAACAACCTGTTATAGGTCACCCTAAAAATTAACTGGCTTAGTGACGCACGGGCGATGAAGGTGCACCTACCCCATCCTCATTATTGTTTACGACTAGGACTTAATGATGCGCAACCACTATTTGCACGTCGGAATACATCGGGAACCAACTTCTTGAGTACAACGGTATTTCTACCCTAACACGACATCTACGATGTCCTGGAAGATACGCTTCTGGTTATCGGGAACATCACCCAAATGCGGTGTTAACAACGTCCCGAGGGCTACACCCAGGAAACTACGTTTCCCGATATGAGGTGTACCACCCGAGTCAGGCACTTACAGCTACCAGGGGGCAATGTCCCTTGATGTACGGTGTTCCACCGCCGCACTTGATGCTTGAAGAAAATTCTCGCTACCCAAGAAATGCTCTTGGTACTCTAACAACAACATACTGCCTCCCCAATACTTAGGAATATCTAATTGCGCCGCTCAATACTTCGGCACACAAAGATGCATACTATGTACTCACAGTACGCAGAACTTACAGGGGGAGGCTGCGACTAGTGGCGGAGCCAGGAATTTGCAGCTGGGTATGCCAGATATAAAAAAATTCAAAGCAAATATGCAATATAATGGATGATAAGTAATAATGGCCATAAAATAAATTGTTGTAATTTTTTCCATGTGCTGGACAAATCCATAATAATACAAGTTCTAAACATAGTGCCCTTGTCTCTAGTAATTAAGAAATATTATAAAATAGTAAAGGCTACAGAAATATAACCTAATAAGCTTGTAAACAACATAATATTGTTCATATGTTTGTGTGTCCACAAGCTTAACTGAAAGATCACATAGGTTCTTTAAATTTTTAAACCATTCATCTCTATACAACAACAACAACAACAACAACAACATAGCCTTTCAGTTCCAAGCAAGTTGGGTTAGGCTAGAGTTGAAACCCACCAAGAGCCCCAAGTCATAGTTCATGCACTTCAATAGATGCTTTCCAAGCACTCATATTCAAATATAGATCTCTAGGTATATCCTCAGCTTTCAAATCTCTTTTTATTGCCTCCCCCCATGTCAAATTCGCTCTTCCTCTACCTCTCCTCATATTATTAGCTTGGCTTAGGACTCCACAATGCACTGGTGCCTCTAGAGGTCTCCTTTGAACATGGCCAAACCACCTCAACCGATGTTGGACAAGTTTTTCTTCAATTGGTGCTACCCCTAGGCAATCACGTATATCATCGTTCCGAACTCGATCCATTCTTGTGTGACCACAAATCCATCACATCATACGTATTTCTGCAATACTAAGTTGTTGAACATGTCGAATCTTTGTAGGCCAACATTCTGCTCCATACAATATAGTCGGTCTAATCGCCGTTCTATAAACCTTGCCTTTTAGCTTTTGTGGTACCCTCTTGTCACAGATAATGCCAGAAGCTTGTCGCCACTTGATCCACCCTGCTTTGATTCTATGGCTAACGTCCGCATCAATTTCTTCATCCCTCTGTAGCATCGATCCCAGATACCGAAAGGTATCCTTCTTAGACACTACTTGACCTTCTAAACTCACATCTCCCTCCTCCTGTGTTGCTCCGCCAAAGTCGCATCTCATGTATTCGGTTTTAGTTCTGCTCAATCTAAAACCTTTAGACTCAAGGGTCTACCGCCATAACTCTAGTTTCCTATTTACTCCTGCCTAGCTTTCGTCCACTAACACTACATCATTAGCGAACAACATACACTAAGGGATATCCCCTTGTATGTTCGTAGTAACCTCATCCATTAACAAGGCAAAGAGATACGGGCTTAAGGCTGGCCCTTGATGAAGTCCAATTTTAATCGAGAAGTAATCTATGTTACCATCGTTTGTTCGAACACTAGTCACAACATTGTTGTACATGTCCTTGATGAGGGTCACATACTTTGATGGGACTTTATGTTTGTCCAATGCCCACCACATAGTATTTCTTAGTATCTTGTTATAAGCCTTCTCCAAGTCAATGAAAACCATGTGAAGGTCCTTTCGCTGGGAGGAAGCAGCTATAGCAGAGAAAGGGGAAGGGCCACATGGGTGAGCCAGCGAGGCCTTAGTGATGTGACCGGTTGGCTGGAGCGGGGGAGGTGGCGAGGTGCTGCCCTTCGGTTGCCGGAGTGGGTTAGCTGGGGAGGGGAGCACCGGAGTGGGAAGGACGGCTGGACGGGAGGTGCTCGTGCTGTGGCGCGGAGCAGCCGAACAGGGAAAGGGGTAGGGGCGACGTGGTCACGCGAGCGATGGAGTCTTTGGGAACGGATGGTTTCTCCCTTTCTGGGCTTTTGGTCCTTCGTGGGCTGCCAGAATCGGCTCTTGCTTTGGGTCCATGAGCCATACTTGCACAGAATGACGTTAATGTATAAAGATACGTATAAATCTATGTATATTTATTAATTTTTTCTCTCAAATCTTGGGTATGCCAAGGAATACAGAGGCATACCCCTGCCGCCGCCCATGGCTGCAACGTCTCGAGGGCTTAAAGCTACATGCTAGCTTACCATTAAGTCCTACGGGGGCTACTGTCAGAGATATGGGCCAGGGGTACCTACACCGCCCGTATATATGACTACAACCAAGCTATCGGCCCAGTAGCCGTCAAGGAGGAGGTCCACAAGGGCTGACGCGATCAACCAACATGGGGATCAAGGCAAACCAAGGCTGGCGTATCTAGACGACAGCGAGGATTAATCTGTAGTAACAAACTAGGAAATAATCTATTAGCCCGATCGCCCTCTCTATAACCCTACCTCTCCTACCAATATAAAGGAGGGTAGGGACCTCGAGCACGGGATCCAATCTTCCACCAATTCCATCTACCTTGTAGCTAGGAGCAACAACCCTTGTAATTGAGCATATGAATACAAGAGCAGCCGCACCACTGGAGTAGGTATTAGCGTGTACCACGCTCCGAACAAGTATAAATCTCTATGTCTCGTGTGCTACCTACGCGATTACGTTGCTGGATATTGCCGGAGCAAAACAATCCGACAATTAGCAACAATAATTTAGCGTTATTTTGGTTTATATACATGCATATTAAGTATATATATATGCATTCATTAGCAATAACATAAACCATAATTGCACATGTGACTAATAATATTTTTTGTTAGCAAAAACTATAGATAGATGTGACTAATAATATAGGGTTTAGAAACCATATATAGAAGCATCAACTATGCATTTGCAATAAGTGAGTAGTTAGAACTAAGTGCAATTATGGTTTATATTATTGGTTTTGTATATACTTATACAAATATAAGTGGGTAGTTTAGAAACAAGTATATATGTAATTTATGGTTATTTATACATACTATTCATATTTCAGATGGAGACTTTAGGGACGTCCGAACAAACATGGTAGTTTATTTTTAGTGATGATAGAAGTGTGTAATTTTGATTAGAATTTGACGAGTTGCTTAGATTATCTATCATAATTGTGATGCTAATTTAAATCAAAATTTAGTTGTTATTTTCGATTTTGTTTTTAATGGCAATGGTAGGTAATTTATTAGATGCATATTTTGGGATTAATTTATATTTTCATAATGGCAAATTTGGGTAAATTATTTACATAAAAATAGAATAAATCTAGTAGCGATTATTATCAATAGCGATTTATCTTTTCTGCCGCGCCTCTTAGATGGAGCCTTTAATTACTAATAGTTGCATACTGTATGACAAGACATTGTGTAAGTTGTTATTATTTAAGATAAATTTTCCATTTTATTGAAACATTGTAACGTACTACATGTAATTTAAATGTAAGAATTGTGTTTTTATTAGAATAATAATAATACACAAAAAGATCTTTAGTGGAGAAAATTCAAAACTATTGTTTATGGCACTGTAGTAACAAAAGGTGCATTGGGAACCTAGAATCGATTTTGATATAATACAAAAGAAAAGTTTTGATTAAAAAGTTACAATAAACACTAGAGTTTTCAACTTAAAATATAAGTAAAAATTGTAGGCACTAGTAAGATACAAATTTGAAAGCCAAAAATCTAGATTCATAATAACACAACACACCTGCCAAGTGTTAATATAACTTAAGCTTTCCTTGAACATTTGTTTCCCAATAGAAAATGTCCATAACTTATTTAAAGTACTTTCCAAGGCTCATATTTGTCCGACTGCTACATAACACTGCCCATTTATTTTATTTAAGCTCGGGCATCTATATATATCATCAATAGGGCAGAATTCCTAATGCCTTGCCGTACTCGACCACGTTGTCGTATATCTCATCCAGGGTGTTGTGCCTGTACTGAAACCCTTCCCGGACCAGCTTCTCCGACGACACGCTCACTCTCGGCCTCTCCTCATCGTCGTCACTGCAAATAAAGTGTCAAAAATCAGAGCTGGAAACCCCTGCAAACATAATATCCACAGCGCGGAACTGAGGCCGGCCGTTGCCGTTGCCGTTGCTTACAAATTTGTTTTCACGCCGTACTGCGGGTACTTCTGTGCCAGGAAACGCGCGAGCTCGACGAGGGTCGGGTTGAGGCTGCTGCAAATGTACCTCCCATTGGCCGCCGCCGCCTCTGCGAGGAACAGCTCGGCGCGGCAGAGGTCGTCGACGTGGACCAGCTGCACCTCGCCGAAGGACTTCTGGATGCCTTTGAGCATGGCGAGCCCTGCCTCGTCGCCTGAAGATCAGCAATCGATCGATCATCCACGCGAACTCTATTGTTTTTTTTTCTTTTAATTATTAAAAAGCGAAGAATTAGTTTGGCGGCCGCAGGATCTTGATTGACTCACCGGACAGCAAGGAGAGGCAGTCGACGATGCTCGAGCGGGCCTTGGGTGCCGGCGCCGCGCCCACGACGATGACGGGAAGGACGGTGACCAGGCTGATGCCGTGCTCCTCCGCGAACCTGCACGCTTCCTTCTCCAGGAGCACCTTGGACACGCAGTGTGCCTGCAAGCAAGCAATACAGGTCACCATCAAACTGACCTAGCAGTGGCCGACAGGAGAAAATAGGCAGTAGCATCGATGGACAATGGGTGCAGATTCATCGGACGGCGGACCCAGATTGGTGGCTTGTTGGCTCTGAGGTACTCGACGTCGGACCAGGAGTCCTCGTCCAGCACATGCCCATGCCCGTCGCCTTGCAGGTCCGGCCTGATGTTGATTACTGCGGCCACCGACGAGGTCAGGATCACTCGCCGCACCGTCCCGGCCTTCACGCACGACCTCATTGCGTTCAGCGTTCCTCGGACGGCCGGCTCGATCTGCTCTTTCTGCCATCGGGCATCGGAAAGCAAACTAAAAATCAGTTCTTTTTTCTCTGAAACCACCCAACTGATGGAGTGAAAAAGAGGTATCGATTGAGCAAGCCCAGATCGACACAAGGGATGTTGTCGTATACTCGTATGTAGGACAGAGTCAGAGTGAGTTGCGGTTATGGTGACGATGTTTGCGCACCTCTGGATCCTGTGCCGAGAAGTTCAGCGGGGCGGCGACGAGGAAGACGTAATCGCAGCCGGCGACGGCGTCGTCGAAGCTGCCTTCTTCGTCCATGTCGGCGCGGAAGACCGTCAGCGGTCCAAGCTGCTGCAAGCCCTTGAGGTGGGAGTTCTTCTCCATGTCATCTGGAGTTTCAGAATAAAAAAAAACAAACCAAATCAAGGTCAATTCTAAGCATGGGTAGGACCGTGGTGGGATTCACAATCACATCTCACAACCACCACCATCTATCTGCAACAGTAAAAGCATTTGTGCGCCTAGCTCAAATACCATATTCTAGGATTTCTTTTTTGCTGTTGAACCATAAAATCAGAAACCTCGTTTTTTAAAAAAATCAGAAGCCACCCAATCAGAATTCAGTAATAAAACCGTTGAAATCCTTGTGCTATTTTTACGCACGTTCCAATAAAGGTGCCGCGCCGTTACCTGCACAGCTCTGCAAGCCCGGAACAGCAACAACCACGAAATCCCTCTGTACATGAAAAGGAAGGTCAAAGAATCAAACCGGGGTTCCTGACCGTCGTCTTCACGGCATAGCCCTCCTCCAGCAGCAACTTGATGAGTGCGGAGCCGATGTACCCGCTCCCTCCAGTCACGCACGCCGTCTTCTTCTTGTTGCTGTCGCCCGCGGACGACGACATATCGCCGGCTATCAACGCAACGCTCCCTCGTCGTCGAGTTGTCGATGCTGCTTGCCGGTGACTGTCGGTCAATCCAGCAGCCTGATTGATGAAATTAGTTTGCTAGGACTAGTAGCTATATATAGTTTGGGGCGAGATTAGATTTGAGAGGACTGGTAACTTTGATCAGCCTGATCGACGAAAAGACAACAACCTATATAGAACGTCGTCGACTTTGATATGATGCACAAACTATTCAAACTTGTGTCCTGCACGGGTGTTATTTGTTTATTCTACTTTGGATCGAACGGTCCAACAACAACCTATGTACCACGTCTTTGACTTTGATATGATGCACAAATTAATCAAACTTGTGTCCTGCACAGGGGTTGGATTCTAATCTAAATTATTAGTCACCATTCATCCCGTTCCCGTCCTTCCCAATCATCGCTAATCCATCTCAAATTAGGTTCTAAATGAATAGCTCCAATAATTTGATATGATGCACAAATTATTCAAACTTGTGCGCTGACAAACATGCACCAGCTAGCTGTTGACCCACACATCCGCTCTACGTACCTCTTGACAAACATGGCGCATTTCCTAGCACATGCTAACATAAAAGTCAGCTCTCGAGAAAGAACACGCTGAAAGACTAGTACAGTACCAGCTCTGGCACACCTGGTCGCGCCAGCAGTTATGCATGACCAGCGATCTGGAAATTAAAAACTGCCAATGTCCGCTAAGTGAATGAAAAATATTTATGTTACAAAAAACTATAGTTAATAGACGAAGTACCTCAATTAACTAACTAATTAATTGCATTAATTAAAAAACTAAATGCACCCTTATGTTTCTCATATAAGCATGATTAGCAACATGTAAACATGTATTCTTAATTAAGTACCTGAGAAAACCTAAATAAACTTGTCACCAACCACAATATAGGGATAAAATTTAGAGTTTAATTTTTTATCGGAATCCTCGATTCCACTAACAAACATGTCCAAGCAAATTGCAAGATACAAAGTTAGTTACAAAATCAGGAGCATGACTAAAAAACATAGAACAGTAGGGGGCCAAACCACACGCTCCATGGGAGGCTAGACCATCAACAACCCTATTACATGTTCTTCTCCAACTCCGGCGAGCTCGGATGCCATCATCTCCTCTAACTCCCCCGCCCCGACCAGGCACGGCCGCCGCCAGGGCCCCTAAACCGCCCGGCCACTATCCCCACCGCCTGGCCTGCTGCCTCCCGGGCGGCCCCTTCTATTGCCGCTAGAGTTGGAGAAGAAAGAGTAGTAGAGGCTCGCCGGAACCCTAGCCACCGTCGTTGTCGTCTTCGTCTCCAGTGGGCTCATATCCAGGAGGAGAAGGAACCGGCCTACCTCGTTGGAGCCGCCGCCATCATCGTCTTCGTCTTCGCCATCGTCGTCGTCTTCGGGAGCGGGCGCAGGGTCGCCGGGGAGCTCGCGGAGGGATGAATGGACGGAGGGAGGAAGAGAGGGAGGAGCTGCGTCGGGAAGGAGGGCGTGGGAGCTCGGGGGGCGTCGCGGAGGCGTCTGGTCTCGGGTGTCCGTTCGGATGCCAGAGACACAGCATTACTGATACTCCAAAGGCCTTGCTTCTGGTTTTCATTTCATCCCAAGGGCTCCAATCTCAAATCTGTCTACGAAGGTTTCAAACCTGCCAATACCTTCAGCCAAGGTGAACCTCCACCACTGACCACCGGTACCAAACTCCACTGCTACATTTTGGACTTCCAGCATGCAACCACTATACTCGAGAATCCTCCAAGCACACAAGACACAACATCTTCAGCCCTACACTTGGGGAAGTTGAGGACAGCACTTCAAGCACATAGCATCTTGGCTGCCATGTTCCAGAAAGGAAGCTAAGGCCCGGTGGCTCGCATCACTTTCCAACATAGATATGCATAGGATCAATTCACACACTTAGATAGGCAATTAAAGGGGAGGTGAATGATTGCGGAGACCTAAAAATAATTTTAAAACTTCACCCTAAACACAAAACCAAATTACACCTTGTTTTTAAGTTCTAGGCAGAACACTGCACCCTTACTAAAAATAATCTCGACAAAACACCGTAGCTCCAATTGATCTCAAAATTATACAAATCAAAGTAGATGAAATTCTTGAACTAACCCAACTGGAATCACGTTAGTCGAGGTCTAGAACTCGAGATATGAAAATAACAATCATGCTGTGTCTGATGGTGACGAGAATTGATTAAACCCTAACTGCGAGATTAAACAAAATCTAATAAAGTGTAATCAATCAAACTGCTTAGATCAATAGCACAAAGCCCTACCACAGTTTTAGATGATCAGATCAAATCTAAACATGCAAATACGAAATTAATCTAAAACCAAAAGCTAAGCATGTAACACGAAGAGCATGGAGCGGAGCGAAGGAACGAGATTACCAACACATCAATTATCAAACCTTAATCTTTATTGCATATAGATGTGTTCACAAGATGCATCTCACAAAGCATCCTTACAAAGATCACCATGTGACTAATAATATTTTTCATTAGCAAAAACTATAGATATATGTTTTCGCAAAAAAAACTATAGATAGATGTGGCTGATAATATAGGGTTTAGAAACCATATATATGCATCAAGTATGCATATGCAATAAGTTAGTAGTTAGAAACAAGTGCAATTATGGTTTATATTATTAGTTTTGTATATACTAATACAGATATAAGTGAGTAGTTTAGAAACAAGTATATATGTAATTTATGGTTATTTATACTGTTCATAATTTAGATGAATACTTTAGGGATGTTCGAATGGACATGTTAGTTTATTTTTAGTGATGATAGAAGTGTGTAATTTTGATTAGAATTTGACGAGTTACTTAGATTATCTATCATAATTGCGATGCTAATTTATATCAAAATTTAGGTGATACTTTTGATTGTGTTTCTTAATGGCAATGGTAGGTAATTTAGATGCATATTTTCATAATGGCAAATATGGGTAAATTATTTACATAAAAATAGAATAAATCTAGCAGCTATTATTATCATTAGTGATTTATCTTTTCTAGCACGTCTCTTAGATGGAGCCTCTAATTACTAATAGTAGCATACTGTATGACAAGATATTATTTAAGATATTTTTTACATTTTGTTGAAACATTGTAACGTATCTACATTGGTAATTTAATTGTAAGAATTGTGTTTTTATTAGAATAATAATAATACACAAAAAAATCTTTAGTGGAGAAAATTCAAAACCATTGTTTATGTCATTGTAGTAACAAAAGGTGCATTGAGAACCTAGAATCGATTCTGATATAATACAAAAGAAAAGTTTTGATGAAAAAGTTACAATAACCACTAGAGTTTTCAACTTATAAGTAAAAAATTGTAGGCACTTATAAGATACAAATTTGAAAGCCAAAAATCTAGATTCATAATAACACGACACACCTACCAAGTGTTAATATAACTTAAGCTAAAATTTCAACTAAACATATGTTCAAGATATGGAGAGGTGCCACGAAAGTGAGAAAAAATATAGATAAGAGATGAAAAAATATAGAGTAATGATGAATCGATCACAACCAAACAGACATCACATACTATCGTGGGTATTGTGTTGAAAAATGAATAGCGAGAACACAAAGATATATATGTAAGCAATTTTTTATTAGGTGTAGGTACTAAATTTATTCACGAACTTTTAACATATATCTCATTGAGATCTTTTACGATGGACGGAAAAGTACCATGGTACCTTGAGGTACTTTCATATATTCTATTTTCTAAGTAATTAATTGAGAAATATATTATAGGGGGTATTTTAGTAATTGACGAGGTTGTGCCCTTGTGAAAGTAACCCGGGCCGTGGCGCACGCGGGCTTACTGGCGGCGCGCGACATAGCGGTGGGCACGGTGGTGGCGGCGCGCCGCGGCGGCAACAAGAACGTATCGTATGGAACGAAATGGCGGTGGTTTTCTCTAAAAAAACGAAATGGTGGTGGTCTGCGTAGTACTTTGGGAAGGCGAAGGAGTATTTTCCCATCATGGTGCTCTCGGGGGAGCTCCGGGATGCTCTTGAAGGGCGGCGAGATGACAGGGGCGGCCTTGGCGTCGGCGTCAACGACGGCGCTGCTGCTGCTCGGCGGCGTGGCAATGTCCATGAGCTCCGGGTGCACCAGGAAGAAGGCGGTGAAGTCGCTGGACGGCGCGACCTGGAGGCCGAACACCGCCGCGGGAGCGGCTGGTCGAGGTGCTGGGCGCCGCCCGGTCAAGCAGGAGCAAGCACGTCGTTCGGCACCGAGAAACTCTAGGAGCGGCGAAGCCACGCGGCGTGCCTACGCCGGCCTGAGCGGTGCGTCGTGCTAATGCTCTTGAGCCATGACATCATGATGGCGTCATGATGACGCCATAGACGCTCTTTTTCCCTTTGAAAATTAGAGAAGAAATATCTTCAAATACAAGTACACGTATCTCATCTAGCAGCTATACCATTTTTGCCCTCTACCAAAATGACATATTTACCCTTATTCGAAAATAAATAAAAAATAGATATTATCCCACGTATTTTGGTACTAGTCCCACCTAATTTAGTACTATCCCCACCTATTTGTAACCTTCAGGTACTGTGCCTTCTATTTTTCTGCCATCCGATCTTGCTCAATGGATGGTCTTTTCTGTCAACAACTGTAAAATTTCTCATATCTCGTTACGTTGAGCGTTTCCAATGGAAAATATGTCCATAGCTTATTTTACGTACTTTCCAACACTCATATATGTCCGATGAAGAATTGAGTGCTACATACATACTGCCCTGGTACTTGAGCTCGGGCATCCATATCAGTAGGGCAGAATTTCTAATGCCTTGCCGTACTCGACCACGTTGTCGTATATCTCATCCAGGGTGTTGTGCCTGTACTGAAATTCTTCCCGGACCAGCTTCTCCGACGACGTGCAGCCTGTTCGATTGGCTGGTTCGTTTCGTTGTTGGTTTATGAAGAAGTACTGTTGGCTGGTTTGTGTGAGAGAAAAATACTGTTCCGACTGGAAATTTACGATCGTTTACGACAAGCCACAGCCAAACGAACAGGCTGATGATGACTCTCGGCCTCTCCAGGAGCTTCTCATCGTCGTCGCTGCATGCAAATAAAGTGTCAGAAATCAGAGCTGCAAACATCTTTAACATTTCCACTGCGCAGAAGTGAGGCTGGCCGTTGCTTACAAATTTGTCTTCACGCCGTACTGCGGGTACTTGGGTGCCAGGAAACGCGCGAGCTCGACGACGGTCGTGTTGAGGCTGCAGCAGATGTACGTACCTCCCGTCGGCTGCCGCTGCCTCTGCCAGGAACAGCTCGGCGCGGCAGAGGTCGTCGATGTGGACCAGGGACAGTGCGCCGGAGGTCGTCTCGATGCTTCTGAGCACGGCGAGCCCGGCCTCGTCGCCAGAAGATCACGCACTCTCGATCGATCACAGGTTCACATGAACTCGATTGTTTTTCTTTTTTTAATAGAGCGGAGAATCCAGTCGGTTGATGCCTGCAGCTGGATCTCTGACTACTGACTCAGCGGACAGCATGAAGAGGCTGTCGATGATGCTCGTGCGGACCTTGGGTGCCAGCGCGGCACCGACGGTGATGACGGGGCAGACGGTGACGAGGCTGATGCCGTGCTCCGCTGCGAACCTGCTCGCTTCGTTCTCCAGCAGCACCTTGGACACGCAGTATCCCAGCAAGCAAGCAATCCAGGTCACCATCAAACTGATACTGTCCTCCTATCCGTGGTCGACCGATGAAAGAGCGTCCCATGGAGTATGGGTGCAAATCGGACGGCGGACCCAGGTTGGCGGCTTGTTGGCTCTGAGGTACTCGACGTCGGACCAGGACGCCTCGTCCAGCACGTGTCCGTCGCCTTGCAGGTCCGGCCTGATGTAGACTCCGGCCACCGACGAGGTCAGGATCACGCGCCGCACCGTCCCGGCCTTCACGCACGACCTCATCGCGTTCAGCGTTCCTCGGATAGACGGCTCGATCTGCTCTTTCTGCGATCGTGCATAGGCAAGCAAGCTAAAAAACAGTTCTTTTTTCTCTGAAACCACCCAACTGATGGAGTAAAAAAGAGGCATCGATTGAACAAGACCAGAGACAACTAATCAAGCACTACCGGAAACCGGCACTTTACCGAGTGCAGGAAGCTTTGTCGAGTGTATTTTATCGGACATGACGGTCTTTGTCGAGTGCTAAATAAAATACACTCGGCAAAAAAAAATACTCCACAAAGATGGCTTTGCCGAGTGTTTTTTTTCGGCACTGTGCTATTTTTCGGCACTTGGCAAAATGCGTCCTTGCCGAGTGCCTTTTTTCTGGCACTGGCACTCGGCAAAGATGTTTTTTGCCGAGTGCCATTTTTTGACACTCGGCAAAATGCGTCCTTGCCGAGTGCCTTTATTTTGGCACTCGGCAAAGAGGTATTTTGCCGTGTGCATTTTTTTTTGCCCTCGACAAATCATTTTTTCAAAACAATTTTTGAGACCCTTAATAAATTAAAATGAAAAAATTTTCAACTACAAAGTTGTATAACTTCTCAAGATATACAAAGTTTATTTTGGTCATTTCTTCATTTGACAAAGCGACAATAACGTTGTTCATAAAATCTACATATCTCTCATATCTCTTATATTAGTTTCATAAAAGTAGAAGAGAGATATATAAGATTTATAAACAATGTTACTACCACTATGTTGGATGAACAAATGACCAAAATAAACTTTGTGGATCTTGAGAAGTTATGAAATTTTGTAGTAGGCAATATTTTGATTTGAAATCATCTTGTCATGCAAAAACGACGTTTGAATTTGAAAATTTGAATTTTTCAAAAGACCTCGGATGGAAAAACTTCCTAAATGAAAATTGTAGATCTCCAAATGTTATGAAACTATGTAGTTGACAACTTTTTGATTTGAAATCATCTTATCATGCAAAACTACGTTTGAATCTCTCAAATTTGAAATTCGAATTTTCCAAACGATCTCGGATGGAAAAATTTCCTAAATAAAAATTGTAGATCTCGAAAAGTTATGAAACTTTGTAGTTGACCACTTTTTAATTTGAATTCGTTTAGGGCCTCAAACAAGCAATTTACTCTCGGTTTAGTATAATATATCAGGATAGATAACGGAATCTAGACACAAGTGACAGTGTAGTGCAGTGGTAGAGCAGCAGACACGCGAGAGAGAGGTCGTGAGTTCGAACCCCGCCGGCCGCGTTAGCCGCGAATTTTGCGCAAAAAATGCAGCGACTTCGATGGAGACGGGCGGGCGCTGGCCGGTGGCGGCCTCCCCGAAAAAAAATTTGCTATTATTTTTGGGTTTTTTTCGTATTTTCATTTTGCTGAGTGTAAATCTTTGCCGAGTACTTTTCCGGCACTCGGCAAAGACTTTACCGAGTGCCCGATAAAAAGCACTCGGCAAAGGCTTCTTTGCCAATTAATTTTTTGCCGAGTATATTTCGGGCTTTAAGGCTTTGCCGAGTGCCGCAGGCACTCGGCAAAGAGAGGCTGTCCGGTAGTGAAGGGATGTTGCCGTAGGAAAGAGTCAGAGTGAGAGTGAGTGACGGTTATGTGACAATGACGACGACTCGTGGTGTGGTGAGTGGTGACGATGTTTGCGCACCTCTGGATCCTGTGCCCAGAGGTTCACCGGGGCGGTGACGAGGAAGACGTAATCACAGCCGGCGACGGCATCGTCTAAGCTGCCTTCTTCGTCCATGTCGGCGCGGAGGACCGTCAGCGGTCCAAGCTCCTGCAAGCCCTTGAGGTGGGAGTTCTTCTCCATGTCATCTGGGGTTTCAGAAACCAATCATGGTCGATTCTCGGCATGGGTGGGTGGGATTCACAGATGTGAATCACATCACACCCACCATCTATCCGCAACATCAACAGGAAAAGCATATATAGGTGCGCCTAGCTCAAATAAAAAGCATATATAGTCTAGGACTCTAGGATTGCTTGCTTGCTGTTGAACTTGTCATCAAATCAGAATTCTGTGAGAAAATAAAATCGTTGAAATTCTTGTGATATTTTTATGCAATCCGAAGCTCTAAAGTTGCCGTTTATTTGCTGCGCAGCTGCAATCCCGGAATAGCAACAACCACGAAACACTGAACTGAGAAGAGGCCGCGAGAAGGAGAACCGAACCGGGGTTCCTGACCGTCGTCTTCACGGCATAGCCCTCCTCCAGCAGCATCTTGATGAGCGCGGAGCCCATGTACCCGTTCCCTCCGGTCACGCACGCCATTTTCTTCTTCATGTCGCCTACGGACGACGACATCGCCGGCCACCAACTCAACACACCCTCGTAGTCGAGTTGTCGATGCTGATTGCCGGTGACTGTCGGATGTTAGATTCATCTCTAACCTAACTGGACCCAACGGCCCAGTTGGGCCTTTGATTCGCGCCCTGATCGGGGGCGCCTAGCCCACCTTGGCTGGAGGGCCCCTGTCACCCTCCCGGCGGCTCTTATCACGAGGTTGATCTGAGCCGAGCTCCCCACCGACACCAAAATCCTAGTCCGATCAAGAGGGCGCGCAGCCAGTGACGGTAAGCCACCAGCTGTGCCACCACCAGACTCCACTATCTTCACCACCGGTCACCACCATGCATCACCGACCCCGTCTTTACTGACCGTCGCTGCCTTAGCGCAGATGTCGACACCATGGCGGACACGAGCGGATCTTCTTCCACTGTGGTCTCAGGTCTGACACGACCATCTTCTACCTCTCCCTTCTCTCTAGTTCTACATGCATTAGAATGTACTGCTTCTCTTATACCGAATAGAACCCCTCTACCGTCTAGATCTATGATGTGTTCAACAGTTATAACATTGGTACCAGAGCCATCGGTTTTCTAGCGTTTTTAGATCTAGAACGGGTGTACGATAAGAATAAGAGAAGATCCATTCGGATCTGAGAAAAGAAGGGGTTTTCAGAAGAAAGTTGAACCCTAACCCTAATTGGGTAAAAGAAAGGAGTAAGAAGGAGGGCTCGGCTTCAAGTCATATCGAAACCGAACCATAAAATCCGAAGAGTCCCTTCGGGGAAGAAAAACAGTGCCCATCCCGAAACCCTAACCCTAATTTTTGACCCCATCCCCAAATCGGGTTAATCCCAGAAGAAAGAAGGGGGAAAGGGAGAAGAGAAAGAGCCGATTTGGCTTACCTCACCGCTGCCTCGCCGGCGCACGAGGAGAAGAAGAGGCCGAGCCGGGGGCGCTGCTCGCCGGGCTCCGACCAAAAAGGGCGCCTGGCGAGGCAGCCGCCGACGGCGGCGGCACGCCACCCGTTAGAGCACGACGGCGGCGGGGGCGGGCGGCGACGCGCTTAGGGGCTGCCCGCCACATCGCTCTGCGCTTCATGGCTACGGAGAGAGAGTGAGAGAGAGAAGGAGAAGGCTGAAATGGCTGCTAGGGTTCAGGGACGTGGCCGGGGGGGCGATTTTGTTCATCCGAAGACGCCGCGCAGCCGTCCGATCGGCTCCAACGGCGCCAGATGCGGGCAGCGTCGCGGCCCAGGCGGGCGAGCGTGCTGCGGAGCTTTGCTGGCCCAGGCCCACGTTGCGGCCTAGGTGGCAGCTTGCGCGCGCGAAGGCGATGGGCCGAGCCGGTTTTTGCCAGTTTTTGGCCGAAACAGTAAAGAATGAGCCCGTTTCACATTTTTCTTTTTCCAGAAAATTTAAAATTGGCTCAAAAGAAAATAGAAAAAAATTTTCCGTGGGTAAAACTCACTAAATTGAATTATTTTTCGCTGCGTATTTAAATATGTTATTTTTCATTATTAAATTGGAACCAACGGGAGAATTTAATTTTGAAAAATGGATAGGTTTTAATTGATTATAATATTGTTATTATTCTGACTAACGTTGATTAATGGCAATATTATGATGTTTTGTCATGCATTAATTCTATTTCTGCCCAACGGTGATGTAGAATTAGTGTAGAGGACAATTGTATGTTTTAATTTTGACCAACGTTGGAACTAAGGCATGCAATTGTTATTGTTATTATTTATGTTCTCACTCCATTTGAATTGTGTTTTTAGGCGGATACAACTTGATGAGTTGTATCAAAGAGATCCCCACTCTCAAAGGTGATAACTACATTGAGTGGAAGAAAAAGATAGACCTGGCCTTCATCTTGGCTGAGGTGGACTGGGTAGTCACCACACCGTGTCCCACAGAGCCTGTGGCACCGGTGAGGGAGACAAATGAGGCTCATGCCGCTTGGGCAACCAGAGAGAGGGATTTTACATCCCAAAGAATGTCCTATGACCTTGAGCATAGGAAGTGGGTCACTGCCAACAAAAAGTGTTTCACTGTGATAAAGAACACGATTGATCCTGTAATTATGGGCTCAATACCAGAGTGTGACACCGTCACCGAGTATCTCGAAAGAATAAAGAGTCAGTTCACTGTCTCTTCAAAGACATGCTACCCAGCTGATAAAGCAGCTGGTAACAGAGAGGTACTCAGGTAATGGTGGCATTAGAGAGCACATACTAAGGATGAGCAATTTGGCATCCAAGCTAAAACCAATGGATCTGGCTCTCAAGGATGAGTTCCTTATCCATCTGATTTTTGCTTCCTTGCCAAAAGAGTTTAACACTTTTGTTGTCAACTACAACATACAGCCCGAGAAATGGGACATGGAGAGGCTCATGGCTATGTGTGTGCAAGAAGAGGAGAGACTGAAAGCTGTCAATGGTGGCTCTATCAATTATTTGAAAGACAATAAGAAACAGAATAATAATGCCAACTTCTCCTCAAAGTTAAAGGGAAAGGGTCCCATACTGCATAAGCCTCAGCAGAACCAGTTCATAGTAGAGAAAGACCAATGTCTCTATTGCAAGAAGACGGGACATTATAAGAAAAATTGTCCCGATTACTTAAAGATGATCATGGCAAAGAAAGGTGAGAACATTATTACGTTCATAAATGAATCCTTGTATGTACAGTATTCAAAATCTACTTGGTGGATTGACTCAGAAGCAACTGTTCATGTTGCTAATTCTTTACAGGGATTCCGTTCGACGAGGACTACGGAAAGAAGCAAAAGACACGTTAAAGTAGCAAATGGAGTCCAAGCAGAAGTTGAAGCCATTGGCGATCTTTCTCTAGAGCATGTTGATGGTTTCAAACTTATACTTAGAGATGTTCTTTATGTTCCCTCGTTACAGAGAAACTTAATAAGTGTTTCATGTTTGGACAATGATGGATATGATTGTAATTTTGGAAATGGCAAATGTAAGATAACATTTAATGATGCATGTGTTGGTCTTGCTATCTTACAAAATGAGCTTTATTTGTTATCACTACGTGATGATGTGAATGTTGTATGCGATGATGGGAACATTGCATGCGACAATGTGAATGTATCCTCGTCTGCGGATGTAAACAGAAAACGAAAGAGAGCTCATGATGCGTTGTCGAAATTATGGCACTATCATTTATGCCATATTTCGTGGGGGAGAATAGAAAGACTAGTTAAGAATGATATTCTTCCTCCATTAGAGCTCTCAGATTTAGAACAATGCAGAGATTGCATAAAATAAAGTATGTAAAGAAAATTAAGAAAGATGCCAAACAAAGCGCAGGAATTGTACAGATTATTCACACAGACGTATGTGGTCCCTTTCCTGTAAAGAGTGTGGATGATTATAATTCATTCATAACATTCATAGATGATTACTCCCGTTATGACTATATTTATCCAATCAAAGAAAGAACAGAAGCATTGGATAAATTTAAGATATTTAAGGTAGAAGTTAAAAACCAACACAATTTAAAGATTAAGATAGTCAGGTCCGACCGTGGGGGAGAATACTACGGTCGGCATAGCCCATATGGCCAAGTTCCTAAACCTTTTGCAAGGTTCTTACAGGAGAATGACATAGTAGCCCAGTATTCTACACCGGGCGAACCTCAGCAGAATGGAGTAGCTGAAAGGCGCAATCGTATCCTGATGGATATGGTGCGTAGTATGATAAGTTACTCCATCTTACCGATGAGCCTATGGATGGAGGCGTTAAAAACCACCATTCATATTCTCAATAGAGTACCAAGTAAGTCGGTGCCCAAAACACCGTATGAGTTGTGGACAGGAAGAGTACCCTCACTAAACCACTTATGTGTGTGGGGGAGTCCTGCTGAGGCTAAAGTATTTAACCCAAACATTGGGAAACTAGATTCCAAAACAGTGAGTTGCCATTTCATTGGTTACCCAGAAAAGTCAAAAGGTTTTCGTTTCTACTGTTCAGATAGACATACAACGTTTGTGGAAATGAGACACGCTGTCTTCCTAGAGGATAAAATGATGAGGGGGAGCATGGTAGCTCGAGAAATTGACCTTGAAGAGAAGCGGGTGTATGCGCCCACTCCGATGATTCATGAGCCATTTTTTACTATCTGCTGTCGCTGCACCGACAGTACAAGATATTGTGGTGCCAACACCTGTTGTTATTCCGCCTGTGGCAACAATGAATGACAATGAGGAACCTGTCCTTCAGGATCCTATAGAACCAATTGCCACACATGAGGGGGAGCAACAACAGCCTCAAATAGAAGATGTGCTAAATGTGGAGACCCATAGAAGGTCTCAAAGAGTTAGAAAATCAGCTATTCCTGCTGATTATGAAGTGTACAACACTGAAGAATTTCAAATGGAGGATGATCCCACCTCATTTGAAGAAGCATGAGAAGTGATCATTCATCAAAGTGGCTTGAGGCCATGAAAGATGAAATGAAAGCGAGTAAATGGGTCTCAAAACATATATGACAAAAGGCTTTACACAAAGAGAAGGGATTGATTACAATGAGACCTTTTCTCCAGTCTCATGTAAGGGAAGCATTTGCAATATGCATTAGATGGATGTAAAGACGGCATTTTCTCAACGGGAACTTGAGAGGAAACGACTTGGCATTTGTCATGGAAGGAAAAGAATGAATGGGTTACTTGGCATTTATGGATTAAAATAAGCAACGTTGGTACTTGAAGTTTGATCAGATAATAAGAAATAGAACAGAGGGAAATTAGTACAAAGTTTAAGAAAGAAGTTCTTTCTTGTTATGTGGATTTGCTAGTAGTGAACGAAAATGCCTCATGATGATTCACCGTATAGAAGATATGATCCAAAGGCATACATAGAGAAAATAGTGGGGTATATGCACAAATGATCCCTCACGATTATAGTCAAGGGCGGCGAGATGGGGATTTTCAATGCCCTAGGAACCAATATGAGATCGAGAAAATCCACGTCAGTGGAAGCTTGCAATATGCTTA